AATTTTAATGGTTTATAATGTGTAATTTTAGGACGATTGAAGCCAGGTGCACAAATTATTGCAAATGATTTTTTAACTATAATTGACAAGTACCTTGGCTAGTATACCTCGGATATATAATCCTTTATTTGGACTGGACATATCTCATGTCCTTCCCTTCTTTTTAATATTGTACTGGTCTAATTGACTGTAATAAAGGAATTGATTGAATTGATTGAGAAAAGTAGTAGCCATTTGCAAAGCAATCAACAGGTGTAGAATTCCCCACCTTTACAAAAGAGACAAACCTCTTGCCTTAAATTGTCCATATATAGGCTTTGCATTTGAAAGTGGAATACTTGCTGAAATTCTTGTTTTGCACCATAACCCTCTTTCTAATAAATTATCAATAATCAGAATTCTGAGACTTGTTTTTTGGATAAACTGTTTCCATTTTGAGTTGCTGCAAGGGAACTCTGACAGTACGACTCTTATATTGCATGTTACAACCTTGCTTATGTTACTGTTATCAGTACGTAGGCCAATGAATGTTTACTTCCATCAGTCATCATGGCTTTGGTCAGCTAAGGATTTCATATAACACTTTTTAATAAAATAAAGAGACTAGGTCATGGTATGTACCTGTATCCATGCCACATGCATCTAATGGTAAGGACCCAATGCCAGTCATTTTGGCACATTTTGGTCAGTATGCCAAAAATGCAGACAAAGTCCAGTTTTATCCCAAGCGTGCTTATTCTATGCAGGTTAGCATCTCTATAAAGATTACCTGGCAAAGTAGCATACAGTTGCCTACACCCCACCAATTAGGAAATACATGTCTTGGCTTTGATCTTTATCCCTGGTGGGAACTGTGGCTCACTTGTGCCCTGTTAGGCTCATCTGCTAGTTGTACCTGTTTCTAAGACTATGCAAATACCTTAATTATCTCATCTTTGGATTTCTGTACACTGTACATTGAATGGATTTTGAAAAGTATGGATAAAAGTTCAGAGCATGGCAGCTAAATTCCTAACCAGCTCCAGTTACTGGCATCATATTATTCATTTTGTTGCAATGGCTGAACTGGCTCCAGTTCGGAGTCTTGATTATGACCATTACAATTTGGGAGCAGGAAAGCTAAAGGGATTTATTTCTCCTATATGAATCTACTCATTGGTTCCTCTCTGATGGCCTTCCGTTGTTATGTGAAGGTCTGTCAAACTGGTAGCTTCTTAATTCTTTGTGCCATGTTAATCTTGGATTTTATCTGTTCTCTTCTGTCATTTTTTTTATAGTCCATAATTATATTACCAGATTAAGGTAGTATATGGAGAAAGTGAGATATACATTATTCTAATAAATGAAATACTCCATTGACAAGGCAACAATCCCTGATGTACTGATAAAACCAATTATTTCTAATTCAGTCTTTCTTTGCTTCTAGCGACTAGTACTTAGATTTGCCAAGAAAACTGAGAGCACTTGGTCTGATAAAACTACTGAAGAAACAACCCATGTAATAATGAAAACAGGTGAGTTAGAAACACAGAAATGAACTTGCTATCTGTTTTGTCTTCATGACTGGATGAATGGATTGGGTGGGTAGGTATGTCTTTAGGGTTGTGAGATCTCAGTTTAATATTAATAATGGATAGTCTTGCCTCTTTTAGATTTTTTCATGAAGGTCTGCCAACAGCTGTTATACATGGTAGCTCATGAGCTCTACTTAATTTAATCATAAATAGTACCTGTTTTTTTCAGGCTGCAAAGCTATTACATGAAAGATGCAGATGTCAAAAGGGGGGGGAAAACCTTTAGAAACAGTCACAGTCCGATGGGTTCACCAAATCACACATGATTTTTGTAATGTTTCTCCAAGATCTAATAATCTAATAATATATGCTAACACAGAAATCTTGTAAGATTTCAGCTATTATTTCTCTTATTTGATTTGGAGAGTGTGTAATCTGTTGTTGCTATTTTGCAGGCTCAGGGACACAAAAGAGCCACTGACCTTTGTTTGAAGGACTGTTTACCTGTCTTTGCACTGTCACAGACTGTAATACAGTTCTTCTGTTCTTTTATCTATGATTAAAAAGACTGTACTGTATCCACTTGCATAAAGAGTCTGAGCTTTTTTGTAGTCTATGCTTTAAGATATAATTTGCAAACTCTGTTTTTTTTTAATATTGTCTTAAACTGTTATATTGGCCATGCTATGAAAAATATCATTTTAAAGGGAGGTATGTAATTGTTTAAAATAAATCAGTAATGCTCTGATGTCTGTAACTCAACAAGCTACTTTTGAAACTGGATATTTTTGAAAGCAGTTTCTGATATTGTGTGAAGACCTACTTTAAAGGAAATAACATTTAAAAAATAGTCAATGGTCTTTATCCTTTTAATATTGAACACTAAGTGATTTTTTTCTCTTTAATCTTCAGATGAGGATCTGGTCTGTGAGAGAACCCTGAAATATTTTATAGGTATTGCTGCACAGAAATGGGTGTTGAGCTACCAATGTAAGTGTGAGCATTCAAGTGAAAAACCACCTCCCTCTCTCCATGCACACTCACCTTCTGGTGCTCTACATATTTTAATTCAGTGTTCAGGCATAGGCCCTTATTTGTAAAAATTTATACCATTATAAATTATTATAAGTTAACTATGCATTTATATCCTGCCATTTTCGCCTTAAGCCAAACAAGAACAAACATTTTATCCAAATACATCCAATAAAACAATATTAAACATCATAGGAAGATAGAGGCAGCAGGGGAAAAATACCATATTGGACAGTTCCATAGTCTGTGGACTGTTAACTATTCAAAAGGACAAGTTTATCTTTAGTAAATGTCAAACACAGAGTATGAAGAGAGACATTCACATTTTCCAGGACAGGGAGCTTCACAGCTTGACTGACACCAAGGATAGTTCAGGACTGTGTTTGCTACTATGAGCCAGACTTGATAAGATTCTGGTAGATATCCAAGCACTACCCTTGTTTGCGTGGCAGAGTGAAACATACAAACAGTATACAGAATCTTGCATGAACTTTTCAGATCATGTATGAATTGTGGGCAAAGAGGAATCCATGGGAAATTTTAGAGCAAATGAATGCTGTGTTCTGTGTCCAATTTGCATACATCCAGTCTTTCAGATCCAAGCATATACTGTAGGTTGTTATTTAATTTAATTTGATTTGATTGTTTCTGGTCACTAGATATGTATTTCTTGTTTCCTGTGACATTTTAATACATTACTCTGCTTTCAGTTGCTCTTAGAGGGACTGGCATTATCTCTGGAAGTTAACAATAAACTATTTCAGCACTGGAATTCTTGAACAGAATGAATTTAAAATCTGTAAGGAATAGGAAGGTGAGGTTTCTAGCAGTGCATAGTAATATTGCCAATAGGCAGGATTATGTAAATATGGACTTACTCTTTTGCAACACTTGATGCAGTTTTCTGTTGCATCTTTAAAAATAAATGTTACAGATGGTAAAAAGAACTACTTTAAATAATAATAATAATAATTTCTGTCTCAATTGACCTAGGGATTATACAGTCACTCAAAACAGGAAGAGTTCTTAAAGAGGTATGTCTGATGTTTGTGGGAGGGGATGGTGGTTTTGTTTTATTAACCAATATGATGCTTGCAGAATCCTTAAATGAGGTAGGTGGGAGATGTTGGAGATTGAATCAGGATTACTATGTCTTTTTTGCCGTTCCTTTAAATGCTTAGTGGATTCTGATGACTAAGAAGAGATTAGACAGTAAAAAATGGAGAAATACTGACTATGTCTATGAATTGCCTCTTGAAAGGAGGAGAGTAACTAACAGTGGGAAAGGCCACTCTTTAAGAATTGAAAAGACAACTTCGTAACTTCAACTGGGGCCTCTTCCCTCTTTCTTCAGGCACTACAGCTGAGGACATTTTACCTGTGACATGCTAAAATGGAACGAAGCTCCTGAAAGGAGCAGCATACAATGGGAATAACACATTCAGAAATTTAGAAATATAACACAGAGTGAATGTTTTTGTTTCCCAAAGTGACAAAGAAACCTTTGGTCAATTTGGGTGGATTGCCAAATTTGTTGGATGGAAGAAGATATTGACGCTTAGCTGGGCTAACTGCTGGGGTGCTACACAGAAGAGCTGGCTGGGACTTATATCTTCCTGCACTTTAAGTAGGACTCTTAATCCCTTGAAGGAGCCAAAGGGATTAAGACTGCTGAGGGAATTTCTTGTCATCATCTGCAGAGTTAGGGAGAAGCATTGAGAGTTAGGCATTGTTCTGCATGTTTGATTGTTGGAGTTTCCTGGTTTGGCAACTAACTGGAAGGTAATCTAGATTGGTGGCACAGATTCATGATCTGCTGGGTTGGATTTACCAATGTTACCAGAAAAAGAAAGTATGACATGATATCTGTGGTGACATCCAGTCTTGCCTGTTTTTCTGAGTGACAGCTAGAATAACTTGAATCATTTTACAATCCCTTTCTGAATCTCATTGTAAACATGACAGACTAGTAGGAAAAATTAAAAAGTGTATATCTTGGTCCCCTCCACCCCATTTTTTTTCATTTTTCCCTCAAATCTTCATAACTCTGTACTTGAGTAGATTGACTAAGCTTCAGAATAATTCAGAATCTTGCTGGAGCTGCCTCCTGTGTTGAAGAAAGAAGTTGAAGAATATATTGTGCCTTCACAGCTTTACAGAAGAGGCCTTTCTGATGAAGATACAGAAATTAGACAATTGATAGATTTTCTCCAAATTGACTGGAACTTTTTATGCTATAATTTTTGGCTGCTCAGTATATCTAACATGTCATAGGTAAAACGGTATGTGTTCAAGCACCATCCTATCCTGCCATTGATCAAATTGCTGCATTATCACCGAAGATGCATGAATATTCAAATTGCTAAAGGGCATTTGCTTAATTAGGTAATGGTTTCTAGTTAAATATAACTTAATTATCCTTTTTTACAATAAAATTTCATGACATAAGACACAGGATAAGAGCTTGTATTGGTGCAGTCCTCCATTCTTTCTACTGCTTCAGTTTGGATTTTTGACTTCTACATTCCAGTAATTCTTTCCTGCTTCAGCCATATAAGATATGGCTCAGCCAGAAATTCATTGGCATCTGATTCTATTTGTGTTGCTTTTCAGGAGGATTTTGAAGTGAGAGGAGATGTAATCAATGGGAGAAACCATCAAGGGCCCAAAAGAGCAAGAGAATCACCTGCTAGAAAGGTATGGCTGTCTTAACCATTAACCCCACAAAAGAAAATAGTTATCCCCAAAGTGTGCTCCTCTTCTTTGCCATCAGAGGAAATGAACGTTTTCTATTTGAGGAAAAGGTTGCTTTCACAAAGTAGAATCCTGAGAAGGGCTTTCATTATTCCTCAGACCATGATGATGCTTAGGGGAGAAATGTAGAATGCAATAATGTTGGATATAAAATTGTACAGATAGATAGTACAGCCTACCTGTACTATCTATTTTTGCAGCAATGCTTAATGTTACTAGCATTTCTCAGCAAATTTCATGGAGTTATTCAGATTTCTTTAAGCGAAATGCTATTGCCCCAAATGAGTATGGAGGTGGATATGATGTGCTTTCCTTTTTAAAAAAAAGTGATTTATATTCTGAACATTAAGATAATTTATTCAGAAATCATAAGGAAAAAGACCAGCACAATTCAAAATGCCCTGTTGCCCCATTGCCATAGAAGAACGTAACTAGCTTTTCAGCAAAAAAGAAAAGGCGTGAGGGAGATTATAACTGGGAATCCTAACTGGGAGTTAGTGCAAGTAGCGTTTCAGAGGCAGCAGTGCTTGGTCCTGCTGTTTTGTTCTCATTATTTAGTCGGTCTCTGCTGTTCTTAGAATCCAAGGATTTAGAGGCTTGCATTTGGTCCTGCACAAGGGTGGATGCTGAATAGAGTGTGGGTGGGAAGGAGGGGACAGATCAGTTTAAGTCACTTCTTTGTTTTCCCCAACCATTTAATAGCCAGAAATATATTTCCTGACTCTCTCTTGCCTTCAGTCTCAATAGGAGAGTCTATTCCAAGCTAGATGCTTGGTAGAAAGGTGAAATGGATGAAGCTGATGCAACAGACATCAGGTACAGTAGCTCCCATTAGCTAAAAGTGGTTAAAGCTAACCACCAGTTACTTCAGCTTCTTTCCAGAGCCATCGCCTTAATTGTTTTCTATCAGCTGGAAGATATAGGTGTTTATTGTGCTTGATTATCTTTTCTCCCCTATGAATTTCTCTGTCTTTAAGATTTTTACTTCCCAAAGTTCCTGTTTCTCAGCCATTTATGTACTCAATATTTAATTATTTTTTTAAAGATGAGGCAGATTAACTGAATTTTCTTCTGGTTAGCAATCGAAACTGTTCAGACTCAAAAGCCTCACATCAGATCTGTCTCCAGTTTTACCTAAGCTGACTCATTCCATTGCCAATCAATGATGTTCCTGAATGTAGTTTTTTATTCTGCTCAAATCAGATTAGCTGGACACATTCTGGCCTGGTCAGTAGCTTAATTCACACAGATCAAACTTTCAGAATTCCTATTTCAAGGAGTTTAATTCTATACTATGCTTACACATTTGCTTTGCTTTCCTTTCCAGCTTTTCCAAGGATTGGAGATTTGCTGTTATGGGCCATTCACTGACATGCTTCCAGGTAAGGGGATTGGGATCCTTGAAATGAGTTGAGAGAATGAATCTAACTGAAGTCTCAGGAGGTCTTTACTCCCTTTTTTTAGTTGTGTAAACAATTGAATTTGTTCTGTCACCAATAAAATGATCCAATCTTTTGAGAAAAAGTGAACTGACTTTAATATCCTAATATTCTTTGCTCACTTGGTGATATTTAGCCCTCAGTAGGGTCAAGATTTATGTCCTGCTGCAGAAACATCCCTAACCTTGAATATTTTAGGCAGATTAACGTACATATGTTTGGCCATTTCTGCATAATTTATTCTGTTCCTGATTGTCATTAATAGAGATGATCACTCTGGCTGTGTCGATAGCTATACCCATCTTCCTTCTCAAATTGTGATGTGGTTTGGATGTCTGTCTCCTTCCCCTTATCATCTTACTTGATGAAGATTTCTTAAAATGCAAATTGCAAGGATTGTATATTGTCATGGTTAAGTGCTATCTCTTCAATTTTTTTTAAAACTAATGACTTGGATGAGGAAGTAGAGGGAATGCTTAGAAAATTTGCAAATGGCACAAAATATAGGGTAGCTACTACCTTGAAAGACTGACATAAAATTCAATATATCATCTCAATATTATTTCTTGTTCTGGCCATCACACTTTAAGAAGGATTGAGACAATCAGGAAAAAATTCAGAGATAAACTGAAGATAAACAAGATAGATCAAGGGGTCTAGGAGCTAAATTACATGGAGAAAGATGAAATGAACTAGAAATGTTTAGTTTGAGTAGAAATGACCAAAGGAACATATGTTAGCATTTTTCAAGTATCTGAATGAAGTCACATAGAAAGTCAAGATCTGTGTATTCACCCCAGAATGGAAGATATGGAATAATGGGTTTAAATTATAAGGATTCTGATTAAATGGTAGAAAAAAGCTTCCTAACAGTGAGAGCAGCTCAATATTGGAATTAATTACCCAGACAGGTAGTGAGCTCCCCCCCTTCACTGGATATATTAAAGTGGAGGCTGGCAGCCATCTGTTTGGCAGCCATCTGTTGGGAGGCTTCAGACTCCTGTACTTAACAGTGGGGTGGACTAGCTGGCCTAAATGGCAGCTTTCAAGTCGATGATTCTATGATCTACATATTATTAACATTATTGGCAGCCAAAGGTGAAAATGTAATGACATAACTGAGGCAGGGGAGAGAAGCAGGATTCTTAATGTTCTTTCCTCACTCTTTTTTATTCTGTTCCCTCTCCCCCCCCCCCGCCCCACTGCCAGCGTTTCAAAATGTTTTAAGCCTGTACAAGGCTTACAATATGATTTAACTTTTCTTGTCTTTTGTTTTTCAAAATGCAGCATGAGTCATGTTGGTATTATTTGTTAGTTCTGTCAAAATTTTAGGATTTATGAGGCCACCAAAAGGAATTGGGAACCCCATGTGGCCTGCAATGAGCCTATTCTGAGGTAGATAAGGAGCGCAGATCTGTGAAACTTCATGCCAGCATTTTGGGACTATTACTTAACTTCCTCTGTTTCTGGGCTATCACTTTCCTTATCTTTTCACATTTATCTTTACAATCATATGGGTAGAAGTTTGCATTCAGAATTAGATTTTGTGACCAGTGCTAAGTTGTGTCTTTACATAATTCAAAATTACAGAATATGCAACTGGAGAATTCCCCAAACTGATTCTCTTGTAAGGCGATATCATTTGGGCTTAATGTCTTTTCGGGGGATAAAATGCTTTGCCATTATATATAATGCGTTTTGTTTATTTCTCCTTTGGGAATTTCTCAGAACAACTCCAGTGGATTGTAGAGCTTTGTGGTGCCTCCCTTGTGAAGCAACCTCACTTATTTACACATCCAACAGTAAGTCTTTTAACTATATGGGCCAGATGGAGAAAAGAAGATACCAATGATCAGCATTTCCCACCCTCCCTTTATTCTTTCAAAATGCTGCTTTAGCTTGTATGGTTCTGCTTAGATATAGAATCAGATGAATGGCTTATCTTGCCTTTATTATTTCCTAGAAATCTTTCTACCCAAGGCATTGCAAATATACATAGAGCTAAGGGGCAGAACACCCTCTTCTGCTGATGCCTGCAGTTCTGTGGGATTGCAACGTATCACCCGCTACCCAAGAAAATTGGTGTGCTTGTTTGTTTCTGAGAGAAAATGTGTTCATGAATGAATGGTGATGTATCTGTGCATGGCCTCTCTTAAGCCACAGTGTGTAACCTTTATATTCTGTCATGGCTTCCCCGCGAGTATCATCTGTTTCCTTTCACTGTTACTTTGTCATCTAGAGTAACTGTTGGCCTGTGAGATCTTTATTTCCTCTGTGACTCCCCATCTGGTTGGAGTCCTGTAGCGAAGTTGAAGAACAGTATGTCTTAACAGTACAAATGACTGCATGCAGAAAAGATACATTGATCCTATATGCCACTTCCCTTTTCATTCTTGTCTTTTATCCTGTAACCATTTAGAACTCCACTGCTGTGATAGTTGTTCAGCCTGATGCATGGAAGGAAGAAAGTACCTGCCAAGGTGAGATGATAATGCTGCCTGCGTCTCCCAAGTCATAAGGGGCCTTAAAAAGTGTCTGATTGACTTTTGGCTTGGTATAATAAGGTATTGCATTATTATTCTGGGGGAATAAGAAGTAATGCTGGTTGACTTTAGACATGATTAGTCATTACCACCAATTCCTCTTCCCTAAGATGTTGGTAAAAGATGTTACTGTCTTGTACGTGGAGAAAGATACAGAGCAAGAAACTTTGAAATGTCTGCCTCTACTCTGCACTACTTAGAGGAAATGTCTGTGGTTTCTTAGTTTCTCCAAACTGTAATGCAAATGGGAGTTTGCCATCTTTCTGTTTTCCATATCTGCTTTCCCAAATGACTTAGGAAAATCAGAGAATACAGTGGATGTGTATAAATAAAAAGCTTCCCTCTTACCTGTGTACATTATCTTGTAAAGGATTATTATAGCAACATTGGAAAACTTTATCATTTCCCATTTTGGGGTTAAGGCATTTTGAAATGTTATTCATCAAATATGATTTAAAAAAAGAACTCTCAATAAGAAAATACAGGCATTAAATGTCTCATTGCTTATCTGGTGTTTTGCAGAGCTCCCACTGCAGTGCAGCGCTGCTGTAGTTTCACGTGAGTGGGTGCTGGACAGTGTTGCCTGCTATCAGCGCCAATCATTCGATGAATACATCATTCAACAGGTGTGATGAGATTGGTTCTTGGAATTATACTTGAACATTTTTTGAGTTTTCTTTTTCTTTTTTAACAAAGAATATGACATCACTTGCAAAATAAATATTGCAGTTGGCCTAAAAATGCCCTGCCTCTCACCAAAGGCAGAATTAAAACTGCTAAATGTCAATTTTCAACACAGTTACTGCAGTGAGCTAAGAAGTAATGTGTTCTTCTATATTGATGCAGATTATTTACCAACCCATTGCTGCCTTGTTTGGAAAGTTTTTCTGTCTTCATGATGTCTTCAAAATGTAGTCATTTGCAAGAGTTAGACAGAACAAAGAGTTTCAATTAATTCAGCTGGATAGCAAAAGTTTTTCTGCTTCTTTCATGGGAGAGTGTTCAAAGAGGCAGTTATGCTGGGTCATTGGCGTAGCATCCTAAGCAGAAGCACAAGCAGATTGGGGATGGCCCAAGAGACCACTGCAAGGGACCTTAGAGTCATAAAGAGGCATGTGCTGAATCAAACATTTGTGTTTGATAATGAACCACTCAGAAATGAAATCTATTAGAAATTGTCTTTCTAGCAAGTTAATAGCAAACTTGACTTGATCATTACCAACATAACTCTAATGAGCATGGTTGTCCTTGAAATTGTATAGTTTTTCTATACAATAATGAAACTTGAACAGAAAAATGTGTGTTAACAATCCCACTTCTCCAGCTTGCTTGACAGCAGATGGTAAAGGCTGAAGGGGGAGAAGGTCATTGTCCCCTTTCATTCCTCTACCCATTACGGGAAATTAACTGGATAGGTGCAGAAGAAGCAGATAGCATCAGTGTCTTCAGCAAGGACTCCCTCACTGGTTTCTCATTTGTTCTAACAGTAAACTTGGGTTTTCTCACAAGCATATTTTACTCCATGTGCATGTGGGCACAAGTTTTAAGTTTTATGTTCACTTCTTACTGACCTGTTTGTATATGATTGTTCTCTCTGTGTCTCTCAGATTCTCTGGATGTGGCAAGTTTTCTGTTAATTAATGTAATTTGTTTTCTGCAAGCAGAGAGGTTTACCTGAGACCCTAACTCTAAGCCCATGGAGCCACTGACACTTTTAACCTGCTCTCTTTGGCTATGTTTCTACTCCATTGGCTATTCCAATGTGATATTTCTATTCTTTAGGGAGGGAAGGCAGAGCATTTTATTATAAGTACCTCTCTTATATATATAAGAAATACATATAGTAAGGCTGCAATACTTAAGACATGAGTTAAGACTAATTTTTTTTACTAAAAGGTATCAAATATTAATTCAGCAACAGATTTTTAAAAATAATGCAAGGGTTTATAATAGCAAGTAATATGCATTGTCTTGCTCTGAGGGTACAAATGCTATGAGTAGCATGGGAGGCAGAGGGTGATGATGAAAACCAGAGTCAGTGAGAAGGGCAGTCAAGTATGGTATCTGTAGGCAGATGCAGCCAGCCAAATACAGGCCCAACACTCAGGAGAAACAAGAGTCAGTGCTGTGCACCAGAAAACTGATTGCCAAGAGTCCCAGCTCCAAATGATTGGTCTTTTACCCTTTTTGGTCCCACTGTTCCCAGGCACCATCTTCCATGATTGAATAGTAAGGATCTTTTAGCCTAAACGGGATTACAGCTTTCACTGGTTTCCCACCTGCACTAATAAGCGAGCTTTGGGAAGTGGAGAAGTGTCCAGCGTGGTGGGTTGTGGTTTCTTCAGTGGAGTTTCAACCCCAGGGACAATCTCTAATTTATATGTTTATTCTCTTTATCTATTGCTTGTCATACCGCTCATCTCCAGGTGATATGCAAAATGAACATAGTTTTTGTACAGTTCAAATAGAGCTTAAAGTAATAACTGAAATATTAAAATATGTAAACCAAATAAAAGACTAGCACTAAGTGGCAGAAGACTGCCACCATGAAATGTATCAAAGTAAATAAAAATGTTTTCACAATTAGGTTTGTGCATACTTTATCTGTAGTGGGAAGCTTTCCTCAGAGGGCTGTTCTGCAGTTTTTGTTTCCATAGTGCCAGTCTCAAGCTCAGGGTCTGGTTTTTGCTTCTCTGCTGAGATGCAGGTGGCCTTTGACTGAACACACTCCTCTCTCCTCCATGTCCAAATAGTAGCTGCTGCTCAAGAGGCGGTTAAAACCATCTTGAGGCCATTGTACCTATACCACACACAAGGAGTGCTTCTTACAAGTTATTGCCCATGAAAGCATCATTTAAAACCAGGTTGTTTTAAAACTATCATGCTTTTCTATATGCAAATTCTAAATTAACTGATCAACTGAAGTACATTTTCCTGGAAGTATATCCAGTGGAATGAATTAATCAGGTAAAAGCCTTGACAAATGTAGGATTCAACAAGATTGAGTGTACTGTGTATGTGGAGTTTGAGTACCTGATTGGGAATTCGTAAGCTAGTATTGTGAAAAACCTGATTTAAATTTCTTAAATGTTTCCTTAATTCACCTTTCCCCACAGGCTTCTTCAGTTTGAATCCCTGTATTTAAAGGACATTAATAGCTCTCATTCACTGTACCACCATTCCTAGACCGTGTTCTGAAGTAGACTACAGAATGCAAATAAAATTGTTCACAACGTCTTCTATTAAGGCAAACATTTGATAAAGTGGCCATTTCATAAATGTGAAGTGCCACTTTCATTGATGGGTTTGTCTACTTGTTCTATTGGAATGAGAACTAGATGCATCACTGCGTGCTAGATGCCTGCACAATGACCAACTGCCCAATGAATGTTCATTAGCCAGCAGCAGAATCCATAGCCTGATTATATCAAAATTCCCCCATCTATTGGCAAGAGTTTATGCAGTAACATTTTTTAACTGTCAATTCAGCTTCAACTTCCGACTGACAGGTTTCTTATCTTCAAAGTCCACCTTGGCTTCTGTTATCTGCCTTCCAGGAGATTATAGCTATCTTGCAAAACATTACCCAGGTAATATGAAGAAACTGCCAACATGCCCCCATAGGCACTGCTCTGAATTATCTTTTCATGTGGAAGGTGAACATAGATGCAGAGCTATTGGAAAGGTCGCTGCAGTCAAGATGGTGAAGGAGAACAAAAGCTTGTAAGATTCTTGCATGGCATTTGTAATTCAGGGCTTGTCTTTTCTACTGTGCAGTCATATCTGTTTTTGCCAGCTCGAAAAGAAAGATGCAAGTTTTCTCCTGCTCTTTAAAGTGAGAATTTCTCCCCAGTTGTCTACCTGTCCCTGTTCTTCGATGCATGGAATTCCCAGTGCAGGTCTGTCCTACTGTGTATTTGGTGATTTCTGTTATTTCAGTCTTACCGCAAATTGTGGAATAGGCGAAATTCAAACTTAAAGTTGTCCTGCAGGCCATAAGCAAAGGAATAACCAATAATCTTAGAAAGTGGAGAAAGTATTTTCTGTTCTGTAGGGTCTGCCAAAAGCTCTGAATTTTGAGTATATTTCATCTTGCTGATGACTCATAACTTTACAGCTGCTGTTTTCATCCTTTCCTCTATTGTTTATTTTCCCTCTATGCTAATATTTTATAGTTTCTGATCCCCTGCAAAACAAAGAAAAACACTCTCTGCTAGTCAAATCATCCTATCTGTCTTAAACCTATTCTTTTACCAATTTTCTTTTCTATTGAGACTGTTATCTCCTATGAGTAGCCCAACCAGTGTCTCTCCATTGCTTGATATTAGGCACACTTTTCAGAGACTGTTACATTAGCTTTAAGAAGGACAAGTTATATTGGGAAATCTGGAATTCTCAGGAAGGTTCTTTAACTATCCTAAGAGGTGTGAATGGGAAAATTTGGTCTTATTTAGTATTAATTTCAGGCCTATGAAGAAGAGTTAAACTGGATTCAAGAAAGTATTTTGTAAGAGAGTTAAATAGTACAAAATCTAAATGGTACAGAGTGAATTTGGTCACTCTGCTAGATCTTACCAGGTAGGCAGATTCTACCTGCAGTAGACAGTCTTGAAGGTAAAGGATTATGATGCTGAAGTAACTAGTTCCAGTTCTTATTTTCACAAAAGTTTCAAACAGATCAGTCAGTAAAGTTAATTTACATTGGAGGAATAAAAACAGGGCTGGTTTTTTTTTCAGATTAATTGGGCAGATATTGGGAACTAATTTACTGGGTCACCTGAAGGCCAGGATCATAGAATATTGAAACAGGACTGCTAGTAAGGTTTTTTTTAATGGAAAATAAATTGAAACTTTTGAGGCTTAATTTAGTTATGTTTTGTCTTGCTTATTTTAATAAGTCTGCCCTTAAGAGTGGATTCAATTTATAATGTTGAAGATTGCATTAGAAAACACTCAGTTTTACACTGGGGTTGGCTAGGGTTTTGAATCACCTGCTTGGAAGTTCAGGAAGAAAGGGCATTATTTAAGAATAGTATATTTGGTCCTTAGCAGTGCCTAGAGTATCTGGATACAAGATGAGTTGAATTTTGAATTCACAGTTTTGAATTTCAAAAAAGTTATCCTGGACTATTGCCATAGTAGAATCTAACTTGAACATTAACTCCTTTGAAAGTATTGGGTGTATATTCTGAGGTTAAGAACTATTTGGATTGGGTATAGATAAATCCAGAAGGTCAACGTACTTCTGATTGTTCAGTGATGTGAACAAATAATGAGAAAAATCTATCTGGCCACTTCTGGGAATAAGAGTGGAACAGAATTTGGAAACTTGTGGACCCATATATGACCCTTTTCCCTATTATTTATCCCTAGAGTCCATGAAATCAGCCACAAACTACGAAATAATGATGACATAGTTTGCTGTGCAGATTTTTACCAAAAATATTGTGGGATATATGGAAAACACAATTCAGTTTCAAATATGATCACATTCCTTTTTTCTGATAAGGGACTAGAAATATGTAAAAATATAAACAACATTTGTCTTGGATATTGAGAACTTCTATGTTTCCTGTTGTCCATTTTGTACTACATAGATATGCAACTGGGATTAAGTCTCTTTTCAGCCCAGCCACCACCAGTGAATGGCTCATATAAAATTAATATTGGCAACAGTTAATGGAATAGCTGATGTCACTAAACTAGTTTGAACATTTATCGTCCAGTCTCCAACCTTCTCTTTTTAGGGAAGGTTGTGGAATGAGTGGTCGTGTGGTAGCTTCAAAGAACCCTGGATGAAGCAGATTAACTGGACCCCTTTTGGTCAGGGTTCAGGCCGGGTTATGGGACTGAGATGGCATTGATCGTGCTCTTAGATGACCTCTGGCGGGAGCAGGATGGGGGTAGTGTATCCATCCTTGCTTTTCTTGTCCTCGTAGTGGCCTTTAACATCATCTATCATGGTATCCTTCTGAGCCAGCTTTGGGAGTTGGGGGTGGGTAGTACTGTGTTGCACTGGTTCTGCTCCTTCCTTGAAGGCCTGTCAAGAAGGAGAGCTCTGACAACATCAGGATTTCACCCTTTTGCAGCTGCAGGAAAACCAAATACAAAAAATCAAATAGCACATGTGATATACAGAAATGAATTATTAATATCAGCTGGGTTTATGTATACTATACACACATTAGATAATAAGGATGGAAAGGGAAAGCTGTGGGTGACAAGAAAACCAAACAGGGTTGATTTCTTTTAATTGTCACAATTTTCTCCCCAAACCATGTGGACAAAAGTCATATCTGGAATAGTACAGGGCTAGCATATCTAACATGGGAGCTAATGGCTTGTGACTCACTGGCTAGCTAATGTGCTAGCCAGTTTGCATATAGGCTTCCTTTACTAAAGAGATGGGGCAGATCTAGTGTCCAGATCATGGCCAGCACATATCTAGGAACTGAGCACATTTCATCTCACATTACCAAATACAATGCTCATACGCACATCTTACTATTAGTTCCATTCTAACCAATTTCCAGAGAAATTATCTTCTTTCTAAAGATTATTCTATAGATAGTTCACCACTTCCAAAATCAACTCCTAGATGAATTCTGTGTCTCAGGCCCAAACAAAGTAAACTTCAGGAGCAATCTTGGTTAGCCACTGGTTTTGTTATATCACAGCAAGAATAATTCTCACAATATTCTTCAATGTACTTAGAAAGCATTGCAGAGACTGCTAAGATATCAACATTTTCACTCACATCAAATCCAGGACTGAATCATTCCGAATAACCTTATGAATAACATCAGCCAACAAAAACAGCGTCCCATCTGCCTTCAGATTCTGGCTGCATAGCTGGGCCATATTTGCAACCTTTGAAGAAAAAGAAAATGGTACACAAAGGAAGGCACTCATTTTTCAGCATCAAAGGGAGATTGTTTAATTGAAAGAGGCAGTCAAAATGATTTCATGAACAGTCATAGTTAATACTTGCTATTGTCTATTCACTGTTTACAATCCCCACCAGTTATCATATGCATCTGATGAAATAGTTTAGTTTACAGTATTAAAATATACAGTCATAGAACACTCTGATGAGATCGTAAAATTAAAATATATTACGTGATGAAATTAAAATATAATGTAATGTTATATATTATTTAATATTGTTGCTCTAATAACCATAGACTGCCCAGAGCTCACTAGGATTGAGGCAGCTGATGAATTCCACAAATAAATGAATAAAATAATCTACCACAATATGCCACTGTATTTTTAAATCTTTCCAGAGATACAGGGCAGCTGTTTTTACTATATCCTGCAATCGACTAAAGTGTCTCAATTTGCCTCTACTGAGTTCTTGCTCTAGAATGTGTAAAAATATAATAGCACAAACATATATTTTAAAAGAATATTGCTTCTATTGCAGCATATATTTCAACTAGTCAAATAGGTCATGAAAGACTACTTGCTAAAACACTGGAGTGCACCAAGCAATATGCCAACCTGTACTACTGAAGCACAGTAGCACTGGTAGGATCGTAGAAATTTCTCCCAAG